GTACATGCAAGTTCTTATTAGTGGCCATTTCAACATCCACTCTCTGGTAGCCCAAGCAGCACCTTAAAATAGTTCAAGGCTGAAATACAAACACTCATCTCCAGTTTCCCGTTATATAGGCACATCGATGTTCCTACCGGATTCCGTGAAACTGATAGACCGGCTATGATAGATCGGATATTTACCAACGAATAACCAGGATCGAGCGCGTCATTGTTGAAGTCACTTTCGGCCGCAGCAATCATGTAGTGTTACTCTTCGAATATATCTGTAAAGCAGACTATCCCATGAAATTGCTGACTCAGCTAGCACGATTGTATGCTACGGTATGTTAGCTCGACGCGGTGAATTAACCAACCGGACCTATCTGGCAGACGAGACACCAGCTATCGTATGACAACAGTCCGTCAACCTGTTTAACATTTTAATTGCGAATTGTCAGAAACTAAGGCTGTTCACTCGAGAGACGTATTCTCGTTTATGCAAGGCTATACCGGTGCAAAATTCAGCCTAGCGCATCCATAAAACCTCTCCGAGCACCGAGACCGACATAATCACTGTACCCAACTTGTTCGCGAGGTGAAAATGGCATAACAGCAGAGGTTGGCCTTGCGTGTGGTATCGAATCACAAGTTGTTGTGTGAACATATGGACAGCCTACGTAAGCTGAAACAGAATTCCTCCTGTTCAAATAGCCAAAGCAGTAAAACTTAAGCTGAAGGATGCGGCAAATACCCTGCGCTTGCAAGATACTCCAACATTTCAGCACCATCAGTGGCCACCTAACTAAGGCAAATGTTGCCTCCTCCCCAAAACACAGATTTTGTTGAATATGCGTAAACACCGCTTTTCAGGCTTGATAATATTCATGCAAAGCCACAAATGGTGGTAGGGGAGGGCTCAGCTGAGATTTGACTCGATTCCTCCAACGCTCGTTTAAAAAAATCTACACATGTGACATGTTGAAACGGGATGCTAACCAATTCACAATAGAGGTAACCTTTCCGATCCAGCCAACTACCGTCAATTGACCTTCCAACCAGTGTTTCGGATGTCATGGAGGCCATTATTGCCGACGCACTAGGGCCTGCTTAAAATAATTTAACTACCAAGCTTCAGAACAGCATGGCACCTGACTAAATAGATCTTGCAAAACAAATATACTCCTACAATGTTCCATCTGGACCGAAGCCGTAGAAACTGACATACTGTAGGGAGGCGGAAGCAAAAGACCACGCAGAAAGCGGAAAGTTAACTAAAACAGGATAGTAGGGAATTACCAACAGGCGCAATGGATGAGATAACGCAGTGCGGACCTTACGGACCGAGCCGACGGCCGATCATAAGCGACGTCTCGTAACGAGCCTGGGCCCGGAACAACAGGAGATATTTGTCGACAGCGTAGTGAATCAGACAAATCCATCACTAGCGAAGCCCATAGGACAGAACGCGGGCCGAGTGATGCAGCTACGCGAGATCAAATCGCGAACTTTCAAACGACTCCTGGCTGGCTAGAATCGGATAAAGCAAAACGGAGATACGGGATGAAACATGGAGAAATTGTTCCCTAAGCCCAAGCTGGTAGGCGCATGGAATGGCCCGTCTCACAAATCCTCCTCTGCGGTGCGTCTTGCGAGGGAAACACGGCCTATATCTGTACGGGTTTGTGTGTGGTTAGTTTGCCCGTTGATGTGGCAATACACGCTCTGTTCCCCTCCCGCGCAGGTGCCGTGACCAATCGGGATGAAGCTAACCTGGCCAACGCAATTTGTACGGGGAGACGTGGCGACATGGCTCGATGAATTTGTGATCCTCGCCGCATGCAACGGGTGCAAAGGTGACGCCAGTTTCCTAACTGCTTCGAGCGCGCTGTTGGAAGAAAGAGTGAAGGCGGTGCATTTGCTCACTCAGAAGGCCAAATCCGGCTGTTCGCATTGTGTGCAAAATTTGGGAAAGAAGGCGGTAGACAGCTAGCGCTGGAGCAAGTTCACTCGGCCAAATGAGAGGAACAGAAGTATTTGATGGTGTTTTTTCAGCAGATGATCAAACAGCTATGGATGGGACTCTCTGGGTTGTAGGGTAATGCTCGAGAACGGCTACTCAAACAGCAATTTGTTCGAAGCCTGCCGGACCCATTCCATCTCAAGATAAAGTTGGCGGCGAGGGATGGAGAAATCAGGGCGGAGGATCTGGTGGCGGTTGCCCAGAATTTGTCGGAGTGAGTGACAGTTTGCAGAGTCTAGCATTCGGAGTTGGAACACAACGTAAACCAACTGTCCGGAAGGTTGGAGAAGCTGTTGTCAAGGGAGACTCCGAGACCGATTTCACAACGCAATGAACATGGGAGCCGGAATGGTCGCCGCTATTCCTGATACAATCAGGTGGGTCATGTGACTAGATCCTGCACCAACTGCACTTTGTACCATTGTTTCTATCCATTGTCTATCCTGGCAGAGTAGGTGGCGCGTACCGATCCTCAAAGTAACTATTGGAGGTGATTCGGTGTTGCTCCTCCCAACCCTGGGGGTCTCAGGGTTGGGAGGAGCAACACCGAATCACCAATTCGGTTACGGTCCTTGTGATCGTAATGACCGAGGTCCACTTACGACCGAGGTCTGAATAGAGATTGCGAGTCGCAATCCAACCACACAGCGAGTACACCAAATGCCACTTGGAACTATTGGAGGTGTGTCGTTTCGGGGCAAAATGGACACGGGAGCGGGATTGTCCATTAAGCAGAGGTGCGAAGGAGTTCCAGTAACAATCCACTATCGTGATGCAGACCGTCGGAGGATATCGTTTGACGTTGACGGACACACAGCGGTTGCGAATCAGGATAGGAGAAACCTTCATCAGCCATGATCTGTTCATGATGGAGCGTACAATCGAAATAATCATCGGTTACTACATCCTCAAACGGCTTGGTGCCACAATTGATCTGAGAGACTTCGTGGTAAACGTAGGCAACGTGATGATTGAGATGAACACTGGGAGAGCCGACCGGGTAGGTGTCATCAAGGTCCTGCCATATTGCCAAGACCTTGAAATATGATGTGTACTGAGCAAGTATACCCACCTATGCACGGACGCAGATGATGCTTACGGATTCTGCAACTGTGTGGAACATCGCATACCATTATTCCCAGGAGGGCAGCGCAAGCTGATTTCCAGGAGAATACCGCATAATACGCTGACGGAGATACAGAAACAGTTAACAAATTTGGAAGCGAAAGGAGTCATCAGGCAAACGCACAGTCCGTATTCATCACCTGTGCTACTGACAAAATGGCCGACTGTACCTATCGATTTTGTACTGATTTCAGAGAACTGAACAGAGTGACAATGACGAATTCGTTTCCAATACCCCAGAGGGAAGACATTTTCTCTAGCCTTCACCGTGCCAAGCAGATTTCTTCGATAGATCTCTGATCGGGATATTGGCAGCTGCCCATCGCAGAGGAAGATCGCCACAAGACGGCTTTCCCTGTGAACAGCCAACGGTACTCGTTTCTAAGAAAGCCGTTTGGATTATGCAACGCCCCAGCTACCTTTAGACGCCTATTGCTGATGGTCCTGGAGAATCTACAAGGCGTGGTTGTCTTTGGTGATGACATCATCATCTTCGAGACAGATCACGAACATGTTACCAGACTTGCAACAGTACTACAAAGACTGGAAGAAGTTGGTCCGAAACTCAATCGCAAAAGTCGCAGATTGCTCTGAAGTCTATTATATGTCTGGGCCACATTGTGAGCAGTGGCAAAGTTCATCCGCTTCCAGAGAAACGCGAGACGATCAAGAGC